CCCACCCACGCCCCCGTCCCCCCTCCGCTTATTAATTTTCAGGGTTTTTTTTACCCTCCCCTTCGCTCCTTATTCCATACCCCCTGTTTATTATTTTCCAACTTGCCACGACTGACGATCATGTGAAACATTATATCTAGAATATAGATGTCAAAATGAAACTTCTTTTTTTTTTTGGTGTAAATGTCAAATTACCCTCAGTATTAGTACCGGTACAGGGTTGGCTACCTCAATTTTGTGCATTGTAAAAACTTTTGTACATTGGTTTATATCTTTTAATGAAACTGATTTGTTCCTAAATGGGAAAAGTTGTCACAGTAACTTACTAAAATTACTAAAATTTCATGATCTCTTGTTCTTTTTTTTCACTGAAGGAGAAATAAAACAGATTTGTTCCTACTAGTACAGGGGTATGGGTCTGAATGTGCCACTTTTTATCCCCCCTTCCGTTTATTAATTTTGGACCTCTTGTCCACCTCCTCCCCCCGTTTATTCCTACACCCTCCCACCCCTTATTCGATACCTTTGAGTAGTTAGTTAGTTAGTAAGTAAGTAAGTTAGTTAGTTAGTTAGTTAGTTAGTTAGTTAGCTAGTTAGTTTGTCAACTAGTTAGTAAGTATGTAAGCTAGTTTTATATTTGTTTCTTTGATCTACCTTCTCGTTAACTCTTTAACTATTTGCTAGTCGTTGCTTTTTTAAGCAAGTGTTTTACGGCACTTGCAACGCAATAAGGTCATATAGGCTAAGTGCCGACGATTAGAGATGTTACAAGAGAGTAACAAACACACAAAAAAGAAGGAGGGGAGATAAAGACGATAGACGTTTGATAGGAAAGAAGAAGCTAACCACACCAGAGCATCCCCCAACCACCCACGTCGCTCTTATGATGACGCTATCTTTCAAAGAAAAGAACAGAAATGTTGCAAGTTTCCGTAATCCCTGCACACCGGCGTCTGTCGCGTGGCTGTCTGGCACGTCGCCATGGCATGCACAGAACTTGAGGCCGATTCCCAAGTGGAAAAAATGTTTGTCTAAGTAGACACTAGCATTAGTACCTCCGTCTTCCTGATGGGATGGATGATGCATCATCTCATTGGCCCAGACGAAGCCCGTCTCTTTAATGATTTAAAGTGTGTCAATTGGGGATTAAAAACATCTACATAAAAAAATCTCTGCACCTTGCCCGTTTGTTATTGTTATCAAAGACTCCCACATGGAGAGAGTAGAGCACGTGGAGAGAGTAGAGGGTAACAGTTTTACGCCCTCTTCCACTCAGCTTAGACGATGTAGGAGACGGGCTGCTTTGACACGACACGTCAGAACCAACTGGGACTGAGTGTAACAAGAAAGAGATAACAACGTCGAAACAAAAAAAACAAAAAACTATAACAACATAACAGATAATTTTTAAAAAAGACACCCCACTCCATCCCCCAACCATCTCCCCCCAACAAAAACACCCCCCCCCCCCGACAAAATAACAAAACAACATCCCCCCCCAAAAAAAACAACAACCCCAAACAGAACTAAAAAACAAACAAACAATAGAAACACATCGAAAAAAACCCCAACAACAAACAAAACCAACAACAAGACCCCCCCCCCTCCCCACACAATAAACCGTATAAAAACAACCGGAACATAATATAATAATTATTCTTTTTCCAGTCGGAATGCCTGCCCAGCAACTCCCCGTGCACGGTCCTGGGTGAGCGCTGCTGCTTCGGTGTCTGTGGCGCCAACGGCGTGGCTCAGATGCGATGTCCGCTCTCTGTTCTCGGCCAGAAGAGCGACTCGGACCAGAACTAGATCTAGTAGTTGAACGAATAAAGAATACATTACTCTGAAAAAAAAGTTGTTTTTAGGTTTTCCTTCTCTTGTCTTTTTGTGATTTAGTAAGATTTAGTAAGAGTGTTACGGCACTTGCAACACAATGAGGTCATATAAGAGCCAAAGTTAAGAGGTGTTACAAGAGACTAACACGCACAAAACAGGAGATGAGATAAGAACGACAGATGTTAAAGTTGATACGAAAGAAGGAGCAAACCACACCAGAGCACCCACCAACCACCCACCTTTTTGTCTTTCAAGTACGATATGAACTGGCGTCTGTGGTGTTGTGGTTAGGCTCTTTGGTGTCGCATGCAGCGGATCCGAATTCGATTTCCCAGTGGGGAATATTTGTATGGGGTATGTCGGCCTCTCTGCCAGGATGTTGTATCCTCTCAGCTGATAGTGATAGGCGGGGTCTGAAAGCTGCCTACTGAATGATCTAAGCTGTGTCGATGTCGGCGTAAAAGCATCATCTTTTAAAAATCATAGATGATGAGCGTCCACAGCATGCATGCACGCGTAGCTATGTTTTCTTTCTTTGTTGTTTTTGTCTTTTAACCTTTTCACTGCCCTGCTTCAATACATGTATTGGTTCTCTGTCCTTTTTCCTATGAATGACCGTATCTATCTTTGTATGTATCTAAATTGATGGTTGGTGTGTGCAGTTTGCTTCTTCTTTCCTATCAAACGTTTATTGTCTTTATCTCTCGATTTATTTGTATTTTACGCTCTTGTAACACATTTCTAATCTAATCTTCGTATATTCTACCGTTTGTTCGTTAACGTCTTGGTCATCCTTTACCTATTTTTCCTTCGATTGTTCCGGTCCGCTGTTTTCGGTTGTCCATCGAGTCTCAATATGAGCCGTTGCCAAAAGGTCACCACTTCGTAAGTAGCAATACACCAAACTTCAAACACTCATATATGTGTTTTAAATGTGCCAGTTCCACGAGCTGTTTATTCTGTTTTTTCAAGAGTTCTTTCTGGATTCTTGTGTGGTTTGCAGGCGCTCTGGTTTTTATTGCTCCTTCTTCCCTTTTAACCATCTATCGTCCTTAGCTCTCCTCCTTTTCGTTGTACGAGTATGTAACACATCTAATCTTCGGGCATTATATGACCTATTTGTGCTGCAACTGCCATACGATTTTTACTACAACTTTTAACAATTAATATTTCTAGAGTCCATGTAAAATGAGTTCTTAATAGTTCGAAACGCATTCATTATGTGGAAAAGCACCACAGGCAACAACACTTTTTAAGAGCCGGCTGAAGTATTTCATTGGGATTTTGATGAGGTGGAAGCATTAATTGTTTTGATAAGATGTAGATATCTATATATAAAAAAAAGAAACAGATCTGTGCATGAACTTCTTGGTTAACGTAAAATCATTTTGATTACGACCTGGGTTTAAACCCAATTTCAAAACTGCGATTTAAGAAGAGGCAGCATCTTCGAAATTATTACCAATTTTTAAGAGTACTGAGCAAAGGTAGGCACGCGGGGGGAGGGGGGGGGGGGGTGACAATTCTTGAAACAGCCCGAGATTTGTATCAGTTCAAGAATGCCTAGCTCAGGAATTGAACCAGAGTCTTTCGCGCTGAGCTAGCAACGTGTCCTTAGAGTCTTTAGGTAGTAGTTTTAGTAAGAGTTTTACCGCGCTTGGAACTGCATAAGGTCATATGAGCACGCCTTAGATAGTCTAATCGGAGAGCTTGAACGTAATTTTCTCTGAGCAGCTGTGTGGGTGGTTGGCATGCGCTCTAGTGTGGTTTGCTCCTTCCTTTCTATTAAACATCAATCGTCTTTATCTCCCCTCCTTTTGTGTTTGTTACTCTTATGTAAGACCTTTTATCTTAGGCACTTATACGACATAAGTGTGTTGCAAGCGTCGTAAAACGCTCACTAAGTAGGCCTGGCTTTTACTTGGCATTCACAGATGAACAAAGACATTCTGAGACAGTGTGGTGTTTTCCCTGACAAGATTTATTACAAACAATCGCGCAATCGAGCCCACGTCTGGGCATATAACGACAGTCCAGTTGTTTCATAAAATCAGGTACAATTATTCTTCTTTCACCTCCCCCTCCTCCCCGTTCTCTTTCTCCTCCTCCTCCTCCCCCTCCTCTCCTCCTCCTCTTCCTTCTCTTCCTCCTCCTCCTCCTCCTCCTCCTCCTCCTCCTCCTCCTCCTCCTCCTCCTCCTCCTCCTCCTCCTCCTCCTCCTCCTCCTCCTCCTCCTCCTTCTCCTCCTCCTCTTCCTTCTCTTCCTCCTCCTCCTCCCCTCCTCCTACTTTTCCTCCTTCTCTTCTTCTTCTTCTTCTTCTTCTTCTTCTTCTTCTTCTTCTTCAAATCTGAAAAGCCTTTGGCGACCATAGGACACCTCTCCTTCCTTTGTTCTGATGCTCTAGAAACCTATAGTATCCTAATCCATCTGTTCAAGTTCTTTAACTAGATCTAAGTTATTCTTGATACATCTCTTTTTTTTTTTACCTTCTTTTTCCATCGAACCAATCGTCGGATATCCCTTGGAACAACATCCTTCCACGGGTTGTCTATCTACAACTACAAAACAAAGCCAAAACTCATAGCGAACAAGCGAATAGAACATTGTCACAGTGACGAGAGGTCGTCTGTTCCAAGGTGGGCCAGATTAGCATAATTGATATATTGTACTGTACGGTTTCGTAAATAGACTTGTTACTTATATATATAATATCGGGCACTCTAAAGTAATTCCGGTTCACTATGGAGCGCAACATTTGCATTACAAAATTCCATCTGCTCAGTACCTAGTTTAGAGAAATTGACGTCAAAGACTTTGAGTTTCACGTCATGTCAAGCTTGTTCGAATGCAATTCTTTGAATATCTTGATAACGACTACGAATAATCTTACGATTTTGACAGAGCAGATAGATCTAGAACATTTGGTTTCTGACCCCCCATGGTCTTAATAACTCAAACTGGCTAAACTGTCAGATAGAACTTTGCAATTGTAAGGTAGCTATTTGGTTACATTCACAGGCAAGTGAAGGCCAAAGAGGTGTAAGATTAAAAAACAATTTTTTTTAAGGTGGGTTCTCGATTTTAGAAAGGATGGTGTTTTTTGTCCTTCATTTGCGCGCCCATAGTGCAAAGCAGTGCAGTGAAGTTATAATTATTATGATTATTAGAGAGCAAAGAGCGGCGGCCATGAAGATGCCCAGCTCTGAATTAGGCGGAAGATTTCACACCCATTTGGTCTTCCCGGTTGAGCGAGTGAAAAGCTACGAGCATCGCATCAGAGACATGCTTCAGGTAGCTGGGGGCAGTCTGGGGATGGAAATAATAAATTACTGAAGTCTTTATATCAGAAAATATTTGGAGATAAAAGACTAATTAAAACTTGAGGGCATTGTAAGCGTTTTTCTTTCTTCCTCTCAGTGCCTTTCTGGTTCTGCTGAATGATGATTCGCAGTCTTGATAGAAAAAAATATAAACACTCACTCAAACCCCACACCCACACAGTGCATGAAGTGACTGTTTTATGTCTAGCAGAGACATTTTAATAAGCATTTTACTACACTTACAACACAATTAAGTCATATTATTAGAAGCTGTGAAGGTTAGAAGAGAGCAACAAACACAAAAAGAATAGGGAGTGATAAGGACGATAGTTGTTTGATCGAAAAGATGGAGCAAACCACACAAGAGCACCCGCCAACCACCCACAGCTGGGACTTTGATTCTCACAACAACAGAAAAATGCTTGTGAAAAAAGATGAATCCGTTATAATGCTTTCCAATAATGATGGTTGCAGTTGTTCCAATAAGGTGATCATTGCGCGGTCCATCTTTTCCCAAATTCTATGCCCACCTTACATTATCAAGTTTCTTGAGATTTGTTATTGTTACGGGGATCCACTGAGCCTCAATATGAGGTATGTTCACAACTATTCTCACAGCAGAAAAAGACGCATGAACATCAAGGATCTTAGAAACCTCTTTGGTAAACATTCATACTCAACACACGTGTACGGGCATTAATATACATTTTCCTTTGTTGTGTTGTTTCTCCCCTCGTTCTTCTCTCCTTATTGACGAGTGCTCTGGTGTGGTTTGCTCCTTCATTCCTGTAAAACATCTGTGATCCTTACCCCATCTCTTTTCTTTTCTTTGTATGTTCCTCTCTTGTAACACCTCTGATCTTCGACACCTATATGACCCATTTGTGTTGCAAGTGCAGCAAAGCTCGTGCTAAAACTTTAACTCACCTCCAAGACTTCGGTCATGTTGATGGAGATTCTGAGACGGGTGTACAGAGGGAGTGAGTCTGTGCTCAGCAGGGAGTACTTGGCTGAGGACAGGCCGTCCACCCCCTGTCGCTCTCTCGTGGTTTTCAGGAGCTCAAATCTGATGCGGGTTCGGATAATGGAACATAATTTGAAAGATTAAAATTTTACTGATATACGCAAAGAGAAATTTGCTCCGGCATAGTGAACATACACACACACACACACACACACACACACACAA